GTTACTGGTTGCTCGGGTCCATGTGCTCAGGTTCATTTGGTCCCGCTGATCAAGCCAAAGGAGGACATTTACTGTTGAGAGAGAGAAAGGCTTTTTCAAAGGCAGCTTTGAGGTGATGGAGAGGTTTTTTGTCTCAAATCATGGTACCCTGTATAAGTCTTTTATAGTAAAGATCTGAGGGGACAGGGGTGACAAGGACCACACACACCTCTGGGCTTGCTGGGTTGGGCCCAGCCAGCAATGAAATTGGGTGCTGGTTTTGGGGGCCACCATTTGCACATTCTGTCCACTCATCTGAGCAGAGGAGAGGAGGGGGTAGCTTTTAGGCCCTAGGCCCCAGGGAGTTAGAGAGGCCCCTTCCCCTATAGGAGAAAGTCTAACCATCGGAGTTGCCCTTTTCCATGCTGGTTGCAGATGTGACACCCTCATGAACTCCTGCCGACTCGGCCACATCCTCGCCGGCTTAGGCAAAGGTGGTGGACGTCAGAGGCAAGTCAGAGAGTGAGTGGGCTTGGTCAAGAGCGGGGACACAGGGGGCCATGATGTGAGGGCTCCCCCACTTGAGATTCTTGCTGCAGGGCTGAGGTGTGGGGTCCTGAGGTGGGGACAGGCCCCTGACACCGCCCCTGCCTGCCTGCCCCCAGCGCCATCTCCACCGTGCTGGGCACCTGGCTGGACGCCTACCACCAGGACTTCCAGGAGCCTCCAGATTTCCCGTGCCTCAAGCAGCTGGTAGAGTACGTGCAGCTGCGCTTTCCTGACTCAGACCTGGAGCACAGTGCACACCTCCTCCTGGCCCAGCTGCAGGACCCGGTTCCCAAGGAGGCCAAGTCTGAGGGTGAGGAAGCTGGGGCAGGGACATCAGCACACACGAGGAGGGTCTGTGCTGAGGCTCCTGCCTGCATTGGGCCAAGGATGGGCCGGGCGCGGGCCCCCTGGGTGTGGAGCTGTCTGGGTTGTGCTCCTCTGCTGGGGCCAGGGCTCGAAGTTTTGGCAGGCGGGGAATGGCTCAGGCCAGGCTGCGATGTGGGGACCTTCTCCTGTGCAGCCCTGTCCTCACTTCTGGAGGAGGATTCAGCTGGCTCAGAGACTCTGGAGCTGGAGTCAGACCCAGTGCCCTCGGCAACAGCAGAGCCACCCAGGCCTCCCCCTGTGGGTGCAGCACGAAGGGTGAGTAAAGAGAAGCCCCGCTTCCTGCATGGCAGAGCTCTTTCTGCTGAGGGATTGAGAGAGTAGCTGGGTTATCAGAGCAGGCCAGGCTCCCTGCTGGCATCTGCCCTCCAGACCTGCTTTCCCTGCTGCAGAGCCCGTCTCCCAATCTCCCATCCACATCCGAGCTCTCCCACTGCACGCCCTGTGAGCAGGGTACACTTCTGAGCCAGGAGGTCTCCCCTCCCCTCTGGGCGGCAGACTTCACACCATCTCTGCCTCCCCTGTGCTGGCCTAGGAGAGGCAGGGAGCAGCCAGACAGGCTTGGCAGGCCTGGCCCCAGGGGAGAGTGTGCAGCTCAGAGCTGTCTTCCAGGCTCTCAGCGGCCTCAGCACTGTCCAGGCACCTGGCAGCCCTGGATCCGCAAGCCACACAGGGCTTCCACACACGCGCGTGAATGTGGAGGCAGATCCTGGGGAGGCACAAGTGTGGCTGGTCCACGCGGCCCTGAGCCTGGCTCTGCGCAGACCTGAGGCAGGGAGATGCACTGTCCTTTCCTGCTTCGTGTCACCCTGCTTCTCCCCTGTACAGGTGTCCATGGTGGTCAGGAGCAGCACCCAGAGTGTTCCCAAGGCCTGACTCGCAGATGCAGCCTCCCAGGCTCCGTCCTGGCCCTGACACCCCAGCCCTCCCCAGAGCTGTTCAGCAGCCCCATGCTCTCCCCTGGGCCGGGCTCCCCCTGCTCCCAGGGGGCCAGGAAGGCCAAGAAGCCCCTGGGTCAGCTCCTGCACCTCTGTCCCCCAGGTGTCCGATGGGTGTCATGGCAGCTCCCTCCCCAGAGACTGCAGCTCAGCAGCTCCAGACTGAGGAGGCCGGGTGTCCTGCTGGGGGCGCCCGGGACCTCTGATGGCTCCAGAGCCCCCTCCACCCTACACCAGAAGAGCCCAGGCTTCTGCACAGAGCTTCTAGGGACCCAGAGCTGGCTGTCATCTGGGGGTGCAGTGGGGTCACTGACCACTGATAGTTTTGTCCCCCCAGGTGGGTCCTCTCTACAACCAGCAGGTGGGCGACAGCTGCATCATCAGAGTCAGCTTGGAGGAGGGCAACGGAAACATGTACAAGAGTGTTTTGGTGAGCAGGCGGCAGGGCTCCCCTGAGGGCCTCACCCACCCAGGGGCCCACAGACCCCGGGCACCACGTGTGCCTCTCCCCTCCTGCAGCTGCCCTAATAGTGGCTCAGGGCAGACACGCAGGGAGAGAAGAGAGGGCTGGGCATTCAGGGCCTGCACCCAGAAGGGCTTGGGCCTTGGGCTAGGGACAGCAAGGAGAGGCCAGGGGTGAGGGAGCAGGAGCTGGGGAGGTCAGGGAAGCGTCTCCGGCCACACTACGCTGTGAGGGAGCTGACTTCTCACAGGGGACACAGCGGCTGGGGTGTGAGACTGGGCAGTCAGGGAGGGGCTGCTGCCAGAGAGGAAGGGGTTCTTCTGGAGGCTGCAGTCGAAGTCCAGGCCAGGAGGGTGGGGCCTTCACAGGCTGCTGACTTTGAGGTGCCCAGCTCTGTCTATCTGGGCATCACTTGAACACGTGGCCTGCAGGGGATGCTCTCATGTGGGGCAGGATGCCTCTCCTGGGGCTGCTGGCTGATGAGGAGGCGTCTGCAGTGCCCCATCCCGCCCACACAGGTCAGGCGGCATCATCTGTGCTCAGGCCCTCAGGGGCCAGGGATGCAGAGGTGGGGCCTGTGCTCTCACCTGAGGGCCTGGTGCTGCCACGGTGCAGACTCCTCCTTGAGGTCAGACCAGGGCCTGTCTTCCCAGCCTCATGGATCTGTCATCCCTGAGGGTCAGCAGCTCCCGAGGGGCCGTGGGAGGGGAGGGCCAGCTGCTGTAGGCAAAAGGGCTAAGGAGGAGTGGGGTAGGGCCCTGCTCATTCCAGGGAACAGGAGAAGGGGAAGAGGCCCTGAACCCAGTGGGGAACCCCTGTGAGCAGTGCTGGGTGCGGTGGAGGGGCCCTCTCTACTGCCCTTGGGAGCCACAGGAGGGCCTCTCTGAGGGATGCACATGCCTTCATGCAGGTGACCTGCAATGACCGCACTCCTACCATCATTCAGAAAGCCATGGAGAAGCACTTCATAGAGGACAACCCCAAGTACTACGAGCTTGTGCAGATTGTTTCTGACAGAAAGTGTAAGTCAGAGCAGAATCGGCTCACCATGAACTGGAGCATCCTGGGTGAAATCCTCGTCTATGGCCCTCGAAGCCCCTGCTTCGGAAGCCACTTCAGTGCCTTGAGGCTGGGAGGGGGCGGAGCCCAGAACAAGCATAGGCTCAGAGGCACCGGTCAGGTTCCCTGCCCTCTGTGCCCGTGTCCTCCTCCGGGGAGGTCAGAAGAGCCAGCGGGGTCACCCCACATACACATCTGTGTAAATACTGTCAGCGCTGTGTCTTTCCAATGAGCTGGAGACCCATGGCAGCCCTTGGTCCAGACTGTCAGCGGGGACAACCACCATCCCTGGGAGGAAGCTCAGGGAGGCTCAAGAAGAGGAGGCAGAGCCACCCAAGTCCCTCCCAGCCGTGGCTGAGGGTCCACTCTGGGCCAGAGGAGAGGGGTGGGAACGAAGAGCCAAGGGAAGGACGTTCTGGGTGCCCGGGACCACAGGATGTGGGGTCCCCTGGGCTCTCCCTGGGGTGAGGCCTGCTCTTTCCTGTCCCCAGAGTCCTTGTTCTTAGGCAGCACTCAGGGGGTGCCTTGGTCTCTGGAACCCCTCCTGCTGGAGTCCTGACCAGTAAAGGCCCAGGGTCCCCAGGACGGGGTGAGCCTCTTCCACCTCCAGGCTGAGTGGGACATTCTGGGTCCAAAACCCATTTCCAGCCAGAGTCCTTAGCTGGGTCAGGCCCGCTGCACAGTCTCCTCAGGAGGGGTCCCAGATGGGGCTGCTGCTGGACAGAGGGGTCTCAGGGCTTTCCCGGAGGAGGGTCTCCAGGGGTGGGGGCCGCTCAAAGCAGGGTCCCCCATGAGCACCGCTGACCTCCTCTCTGTCCAACCCGCAGGGATGAAGATCCCCGAAGACAGCAATGTCTTCTACGCCATGAAGTCCACCAGCCCGTACAATTTCATCCTGAGACAGCAGACCCTCCTCAGTTGGCTGGATGTCAGTCCTGGACCCTTGTCAACCTTCCATCGCTGGAAGCAGAGAAGACTGAAGGCTTTGTAAAGGCACCTGCTAAAGCCCCCATGGGGGGATCCTGCTGGCCAGGGCTGGACCAGAGAGGCCCAGGCTGCTCAGGTTACCATCTGCCAACCTGGCAGCCCAGGCCACCCCACACTCCAGTCTCACCCCAAACCTCTCCCACCTCGAATTTGCACCTTTCACTTCACAGGCTCGCCGTTGTCTCCCACCCTAAGGTTTCAAAAGATTTTAGTTTCTGTTGTGTGAAACCAGCTGTGGTGATTTCGGACACAGATCAGAAACTATTGAAGCAGCTACAGACACAGAAAACCCAGGTGTTCTTTCCCTGCAGGTCCCCAAATACTAACATTGCTTCCCTTGATCTCCTGGCTAATGGGACCCTAAGTTCTGAAAAAGCAAGATAGGAGAAAGACATACTATCTCTGGGACAATGAATTGCATTTCTTCGGGCATTTTCCAAAATTTCTGGCTATGTCAGAAGAAGAAGAAGTTTACAGTCAAACCTTCCACTTGGAATCAGGATGTTGTCTTAGCCTTTTCCAGAGCCAGGCAGCTAGGAGTCCAGTTCTCTGCCTCCTGGCTTGGGACAGTTTCATGCAGTTCACACTCACTAAATAGCACAAGTGCTCCCCGCAAGGCATCTTCTGTGCTAGAGACACAACCAGAAAAAAGAGGAAAATGAATGACTGCTGACCTGGAGGAGGACAGCAGACCCCTGGGAGGGCAATATTCCTAAGGAATTGCTCAGTGAGATCCCGTCTTCCACCACATGCCCTGCAGCGACCTTCACACCAGGGCCCAATTTTCTCTGTGCAAATTTAACCAGGGACAGGGCCGCAAGCCAGGGGAAGTCATAGTGCAGGACACATACGTGATGCCTCTGTAGCAGGATTGTGACCTACAAAGTCTAGTTTGTAAATAGGTATGAAGAGGTTTTAAAAAAATAAATGGAAAATTAAGCTGTGAACATTACAATTAATTAAGCCGTAAGCATTAAAATTTTGTCTATTTCTCCCTTTTAAAACATGCTGATATGCCTTAAGCTGTAGTTGTAGATCCTTGTCACTTTGCTGTTTGTAATAACTGGTGTTTTCTAAAACTGTTGTGCAATCTCCTTTCCGTGTTAATACAGAACTGTCATATATGTAAGCTGCACGGGAGACGCTTGTCTTTTTTTAACAACTAAAACGATTGTATTGAAGTGAAGCATACTATTTCTTCAAGGATCCAAGTAGTCATCAGCACCCTGCTGGGTAACTTGGTATCTGCTCAGGTGGGAGTGTGGTCCACAGGTCACATATGGGTCCACATCACTGGTGCCCAAACAAAAAGTGGGGAAAATATATTTTTACACAAATGTCAAAAACCCACCAGGGGAGCAGTGGAATGTGATGTGGTTGGAAATTCCCTTATGAAGAATCCAAACAAGAAGGTCCTGCTGGGCTGCGTGGGTTGCAGAATGTGATCTACTGCCCACTGCCCCGAATGCCAAGAGTGCACCACAGGGCTCATCTGTCTGTGGCCCGAAGCACAGAACCCTTGCTTTCCTGAGCAATGGCTGTGCCCCTGGTGGCAGATCTCTCCATGTGTTCCCATCCCGAGCTTTGCAGATTGTCCCCGGGCGAATCCAGGTGCCACCCGCAGCATCGCCTGTGTCCTGCCATCTGGCTGGCTGACCTTATTAGCACCTCCTTCCACTGCCCCTACAGAACCTGTGTCCCCTTCCCTCCTGCAGAGAGCTGGGGCCACCCTACCTTTGTTTAGGGTACGTCCCCTCCTCGTGCACCAGGTCTGGTGTCCACGGCTGCATTCTGCCTTTTCAAGTCCACTTCCAGTGCCCATGCTAGGGGCCTCCTACCCTTCTCCAAGGCCTCTGCCCCTGGTAGTACTGGTCCAGCAGCGAGGCAGAAGCGTGAAGGCTTTGGAGATGCCTCACAGAGCAGTGAGCGACCTCGGACATGGCCTCCTGTTCCCGGGGCTTGTGCTGTCTCCACCACGGAGGGGCAGTCGCTGGACAGGGTCACATGGCTGTCAGGACAGCTGGCTAAGGTGGCCAGTGCAGAAGTAGCCAGGCAGTGGGTGTCAGGGCTCTCCGCCCATCCTCCTCACTGACGTCACCACCCACGCTAGGTTACAGGGCGCCCTGTGGCATTATGTTGGGTCTTCCACACAAGCAGGTCATGAACCAAATTGACTCCAATCCTGAACGCCTCAGTTTTCTGCCAGGACAGAAGCCACAATGGCCTCACTGAACATGTGCTCGTGACTGGAGGCTCAGGTGACCGAAAGTCGCCAGTTCCCATAGGATGGGGCACCAAACTTCTGGCCAGGAGGTGGCAGAGGGGGCCCTGAGGTGGGCGGGCCCACAGCACACCACAAATCTCCACTGTCTCACCCACACCTGGCGAATGGTCAGACCCTGCTGCTCCACAGCCCCCACGGCCTGGCTGGAGTCCAGCGGCAGCTGGGAGGGCACAGGGAGGGGAGAGTGAGCCAGGCTTGTGCCGCCTTCCCCATATCACCTTCCCCTACTTCTGCCTGCAGCCAGCCTCATCCGCACTCTGCTCAGCATTACTTACAGTCTTGGGTCCCCAGGTCAAGGAAGGAGGAGGAGGCGGGGCCCTGGTCAGCACTGGTAGCTACAGGAAGGGGCCATTTTCCCAGGCTCCTGCCCAGGGCAGCTGGGGAAGGGGCAGCGTCCTCAGTGAGCCAGTGATGGGGGAGCCGGCCCAGCCCCACCTCACTGATGAGGAACTCCCTGAGACCCCTTAGGAGTCAGCCTTCAGCTCCAAGTCCATCCTGTCCCACCTGAGTCCCTGCCCAGTTCAGTCCTGCTCCTTGGCGCCTTGCCCTGCTGTGAGGTCTGTTGTCTCCCAGCCTCTGCTGGGGTGGGAAGGACACTCAGCCCCACACCCCCTCCACTGCTCTGTTCCTCTGGGACACAGTGAGGGAAGCCCCAAATCACAGGTGAAATGCAAGCTGAGAGCCCAGCTGATCTGCTCCCTGGACTGCTTCTAGATGAATCTGAGAGGCTCCTACTCCGGGCACTGTGGGCTCCAGCACATCCCTTCCGTGGCTGTGTCTGACTTCCTCCTGCCCATTTGTCCTTGTCTTGGCCATATCTCTGGCACCTAGAGGCTGGCCAGGAGGAGGGTAGAGAAAGGCAACTTACAGGTAGTGATTAAGGTGATGAGTGTGCCTCTGGTGCAGCCATGTAGTGACCCCAGAGTGTGTAAGTGTGAGTGTGTGTTTTTATTCTCCAAATAAGAGTTTTCTTTTAGGTCAGGTGGCCCCTCCCCCTTGCTCCCTTGAGTGTTGTGGGATGTAGGATGGAGCGGCTGTCTGGGCTCCGTGCACCTGGCCTTTGTGCACTGCCTATCAGCTCTCCCGCGGGTCTTTCTTGACCTAAGTCTTTATCCCATTTGTACTATCTGGTGCCTTTTGATACCTGGCTTTCTTCTCTGTCTGCCTTTATTCTTTCAATTGCTCTCAAAGGAATCAATGCCTCCAGTACAGTTTTAACTATTTTGAGTCAGTTGCTAGAAAGCCTGATGAGGCCCTTATCCCATTTTCTCCCTGCCTGCAGACCCCTGTCCCTGCAGAGTCAGTCTGGGCCCACTACTGCCTGAACAACGGCACTAAGTTCTAAAGAATGAAGCTTGCAGTTGAAGGACAAAAGTATTTCAGAAGGAGGGAAACTCGGAGTCCAACATTTAAGAAGGGAACAGGGGGAGGGAGACATGGGCTTAACTCCGGGGGAAGAAAGCTAGAACCTGGGGCAGAGCAGACAGCTGTGGGGTCCTGGGGTCAGAGGGCAGGAGGAGCACAGGAGAGCCAGGGAGGAGCGGCAGCCAGGGAGGAGTGGCAGCCACGGTGGCCCTGTGCTCCCAACACAGCAGCAGGGACAGAGCTGGAGCAGAGTCCAGCCTTCCTGGGGCAGCTCAGGCCTGCGCCCACGCTGGGGACACTCATCTCCATGAAGGCCACCAAATCTGCCTGTGCCCAGCCCCAGCCTTCTGCCTCTTCCTTCTGCCTGCAGGATGCCCAGCTGCTACCCCGATGTCTGGCGCTGCTGTTCTCCCACACTGCACCCTCCAGGCTCCCACCCACTGCTCCCATCCTAGACTCACCCCATCTGGCTGGGGGAGCCTTCGCTAGGCCCACTTCCAGACCTGGCCAGCAGGGGGAGCTGGAGCCCACCCACCTGGCTAAATCCTGTTGCGCTGGTCCCAGGGGTGGAGCAGGGAGCTGGTGCTGTAGAACTCAGCCCTTTCTACAGCACCCTGCAGGCTTCCCGGGCTATAGGAGAGGACAGAGATAGTGCTGAAGACCACTTTCTACCTCTTGCACCTTTGGAACCCTCTGTCACTGTTGGTGGGAATGGAAACAACCATTGGGGAAATCAGCATGGAGATTTCTCAAAGAACTGAAATGAGAAATTCCTTATGACCTAGCAATCCTCTTGCTTGATATCTTCCCTAAAGTCATCATACTACAGTGATACATGCAAACCAATGGTTACAGCAGCACAACCCATCAAAGCTAGATCCTGGAAGCAGCCTGTATGCCCGTCGACAAATGACTCGATAATAAAAATGTGGTGTCTCCATATGATGGAATACTAGTCAGCTGTAAAGAATGATAAATTTGAGGCATTTGTAGGAAAATGGATGCCCCTGGAAAATATGATGTTGAGTGAAATAAACCAGATATACAAGTTTGAACACTGTACGGTGTCTCTCATTTGAGTGAGGCAAAGTACAAAGAAAGAGAATGATAAAGGATGGATAGAAGGGGACAAGAGGATAGATCTCTTGCACTAGGGAAAGGGAGCAAAGGTGAGCAATGAGGAGGAGGGGAAGGGGAAATAAGTAGAAAAAGATATGCCAAAGCAAACAAACAAACAACAAACAAAGAAGATATAGGATGTACAGGAGCCTAATAACCTCAATTAATGTGAACATTCTATGCTACAACAAGAGCTAAGATTAATAATATCACCAAAATCAAAAACAGAACAGGGGAATTAGACTGCCAGGGAGGGGAGTGGGGGGGCAGGGGAAGGGAAATAAAACAGGAAACAAGCTGTAGTATGCACATGACAGCTATACTGTATGAACTGCAGACATGGTACAAAGAAAATAAAATTAAAAAGCAAATCTTGCACCTGTCGTGTCTATTTTAATATCTGTTTGAAACAATGCAACCAACCTATGAAAACCATGGTTTCTGAGTTATTCAGAATGATGCTAAGGTTTTTTTTTTTTTTAGTACAAGGGATGCAACCAGGAGCACTGTGACTGTGATCCACATCCCCTGCCCTCTTTATTGTTGATTTTCAGACACGGTGTAGCCAAGTTGCCCAGGAGGGCTTGAACTTGGCAATCCTCCTGCCTCGGCCTACCTCAGTGCTGGGACTACCACCTGTGTCCCCACACCTGGGTTAGCGTGGGATTCTTTAAAGACCCACTTAGGACAGATACTAAGTAAGGATATGCTCAGCAGGGACACAGGCATTGGAAGTGAGTGGCCCTCCTGGGAAGCGCTGGGGCACTGGTGGAATCAGGAGGAGGGCTCAGAGGAGGTGTGGGGTCAGGGTCCAGTTGCACTGGGGAAGCAGCTGGAATGAGGACAAACTAAAGCCCAGCTAAAGGCCCAAAGGCCAGATGTGGGTTGGATCTGACTTAGGTTCACATTTGGGGGTCGACAATCAGATTGGAGGGACCCTGGGTGGGCACTCTCAAGAGAGGGGAGCCCCAGAGCAGCAGGTGAACAGAGCCCCAGCTGGCTTGAGGGGAGAAAAGCAGGAGCCCTGAGCTGCTTTATGGTATGGGGGCACAGTGTCACTTGATCCTCCCCGCCTGGACGCAAGCAGGTAGCCTGGGAGCCTGGTTCACAGTCTGCACACTTGCCCGCAGCAGAGTTGGGGTTGCTTTTTACACTGTTACTAATTTTTCATTTAAAAACGCTTATTTTAATTATTTTTTTAACATAACATGATGGATTTATTTGGGAAAGTTGGTATGGATTGATTGAGTTGAAAGTTGATATGGATGGATGATTGGAGCACATCCATCAATT